AGGAGTTTGAAAATGCGAAAGAACACCAAAGCGAGGGTAGTGAAGCAATAGTCGTTAAAGAGATTTRAAATATTTTTATCTTAGATATTCATTAGATTCCTAGTGTTTTTGTTTACACGGAAGTATCCATATTCACTAAAACGTTTTAACCTAGGATATCCCTGAGGCGGCCATATCATTATTGCCGGTCCATACTGCATATTAAAGTCTTRAAATGGACAAACACACAAATGCGCTATTTTTCATCTTAGATAATTATTACATTCCTAGTGGCTCTTTCGCAGGAAAGTATCGGTGTTCTGATCTCTTAAACGTTTTATCTGACGATATCCCTGAGGCGACCATATTAGGATTGCCGGTCTATAGTGAAATTGTTGTCTTGCGCACAATGTTGAATAATGATAGCGATGAACCACATCAAAAATCATCGAATAGTCGTTAAAAATGCTATTCAATCTTCACTTCAATTAACAGTTATTCCACGAAATCGAGTCGTACATGAGCTGATAGTCAACGAGATKGAGTATATTTTCTCATGATTTTGTTTATGATTATGACACTTACTATATTGTTATTTTTTAACACAGCATCCATGGCAGAAGTCTCGTTCTTTGAGGTTCTTAACACTGATCGACGTGACACTAACTCCAGTCTTCACCTTGCGGTTGAAAACGGCCATGTTGAGGTTTGATTCTCGCTATTACGGGCACTGTGTTGTTTACTGTTGTTTACTACATACTGTTATGTCCTTAAAATCAGCGGGAATAGTGGGGACGGCCGCAAAGGTATATAATGGACTACTCCTCTGTTTCTGTAACTAATAGTCTCCCTCGCGGTGCCTTTCAAAAGCCGTCAATGAGACTGTTGAGACTGATATTTTCATTTCCGGCTGTTTCAGTCTGCTAAAGTCTGTATAGAGTACGGAGCAGATCCCTCAGCTGTCCAGGTATGAACAAAACATATAAGGTACCTTTATATAGACTTTATATAGACTTWTATAGTCTTTATAAGACTTGAAACTAATGGTACATTATTAACGCAGTTTTCTTTGGTCTTKTGAATACAGGATAATCTCGACACTCCTTTGCACGTCGCTTGTAACAATGGACACGACGAGATGGTCGCTTTGTTGTTGTTTCATGGCGCTGCCATCGATGCTGAAGACAAAGATGGTATGACTCCATTACTAAGGTACAAACTATGCTTTCTGTCTCTCTGTCTCTCTGTATGTCTGTCCGTTTGCCTGTTTGATTGTTTCTTGGGTTGATCGTCTCTCTACGAGTAGGACAGACGTAGTGCCTTGTAGTCCTTTTCATGCAATAATCAACATGTTSTCTTTCACCATCGTAGAGCGTCGCTTGCTGGAAAAGTTGGAATCATAGACATCCTCCTTAATGAGGTAATAAATCAAAGCATTTCTTTTGTCCAGGCATACTTTTCWGGGATTTTCCCGCGCGAATGGTTGCAAAAGGGAACAGGATCCTTTATTTTGTAGCATCTTTCATAAGGGTTAACAAATTTGTTCGCAAAGAAGTTCCCTTGCTTGTCAAGAGTATAGTTTAGAATARCACTTTCAGGTCTTGAATCATAGACAAATATAACTTGTCTGTACGAAGCAAAAGTTCGCACCTTAATAAGAAAAATGCTAGGTTTTACTCAATAACACCGTTTGATATTCCCAGGGAGCAAGTGTCTTGCCTCCCCCTGGATCATCGTTACCAGCGCCGTTGCTTTGTGCTGTTAARAGAGGTCACCACGAGGCAGTCACGTACTTACTTCAGCGAGGCTCTCCTATYGTTTTACGCGATTCACAGTTCCGGTCATGTCTTCACATAGCAGTCTATACAGCRGGCATTGAAACTGTCAAGGTCATACTAAAGGTGGGTAATAAAAGGACCATGTTCGCTTTTGCTTTGAAGAAACTGTGCCATCAAAGAATTGCCCCACAAAAGTTGTCCTTCGTTTAGCAGCCATATATGGTAATCTTACCTTATTTGGAAGTACGATAAGAATGTTTTTTGGCGATTTTCTCGACTTTTAAAGCATGAAATCGTCTGAAACTTGCAGATATTATAGCGAAAACACTTTTCAACAATCGGCCATTTTGTTTGTTCCAATATATAGAATGGATTCGCTAAAGGAAGCCCAAAACGAAAAAGCACAGGGATCCCGCACGAATGACATACAATTCTTTGATATGGCGATTTCGTCACATACTAAAATAAACTCGCCATCTTTGATTTTGAACTAATCAGAAAGCACCTTTCAACAAGGGATCATTTGTAAAACAAAAGAAACGACAYGACACCATTAGAAATTCATTCTCATCCAAAAGAGAAAATTCTGTTAAGTACATCTGTAAAAAAAGAAATTGATTTTAAATTGTATTTTCTAAGCTATGAGCAATTAAAGCTTCATTTGCATTTTCAATTTTCAAATGTCCATAACTCAGAAAATACAATTCAAAATCTATTCCTTTCTACACAGAAGTGCTTGGCAGCGTGTTACCTTTSGGATAAAAGTGATTTTCTAAAAGATTTCATGTGCAATCTAAAGACTTGTCTTGGATTACACGATAGATGTTACCATAGAGTTTCCATGTGTATAAAAATAGCTTTTCCAGGCCTTTCCAGAGTATTCGTTACGTGAAAAAGTTAACTATCTTTGATGCGTCGAATGGTTTGGTGACCTACTATGATTTCTTTTAACAGAATGGCGGTTGTGTTCTTCTTGACTCGCGAGATAAAGATGACAAAATTCCCATGCATTACGCGGCTGCTAAAGGTGATATCGAAGTACGTATGCTCACAGATATTACCCAATACCAAGTGCATGCTTTTGATTGAATCTTAACCCTTTCTGACCATTACCAGTCATCTCATAGCGCAAGTGTTTTGCAGATAATTGAGGAACTACTACAAGCGGGATCCAGAGTTGATTTACGCGACGAGGACGAGAAGCTGCCTCTCCACTACGCAGCAGAGTAAGAAACGAGTTTACTCGATAAACGTTTAGTTATATTAATCCACACAGCATCGCGTACGACTCTATATACTCCATGGTTGAAAATATTGTACATTTTGCATTCAGGAATGGTCATCTTGARTGTGTCCAAGTCCTTATAAAGAAGCTTCCATCGTCAGTCGACAGCATCGATTCGCACTTATGCACCCCACTGATATACGCAACAATAGGTGGCCACAGTCGCGTTGTACGCTATCTTCTTAATAAAGGAGCCGAAACAGACAATAGGTAAGTTATGGTTAGGTCCGGGTGAGCGTTTGGTGCCCATCTACTTCCTTTTTATCCTATTTGTGCCTCCTTGTAAAGGATATCAGTGTTGTACAACCCCTCTTCCGGATCAGCTCACTTAAGATAAAAACAAAATGGCGGCTATTTGCTCAGAACCTTTTAAAGTTATTGATCGACAAGTCGGGCAGAGCACTGAGATGTTGCGGTGACGGTGTGTTTTGAAGGCTGATCTTTTCATAATTCGTTACTTCAAACACGAGGTTCCGTGCCACTTTCTGTCCTTGTTTTGTTGCATATTCCTGCTATTTTGTAGAATAATTGATACCGAAATATATATGAAGGCGCTCAAAGATAGCCATGATTCTATCGGTGACGATGATAATAATGATTGATGTAATGATGAATTTGATTGACAGGGACAGTGATCACATGACACCTCTTATCCACGCAGCAAAGTGTGGTTGCTGTATCACTACTGAAACGCTATTGGACAATGGAGCTAAGATTGACGCTGTCGATAAAGACAACGTAAGTACTTTACTTCCTGAAAACCTAAAATCTTATACCCAGACCCTCATTTTTAAGGTCGGAGGCTACTTTTCCATCTCCTTCAAATGCTGATTCACATGATTTCCGCCTATCATATTTCTCGTAATTTTTCAGAATACGGCGTTGGTGACCGCAGCTGTTTATGGGAAGTCTTTGGTCGTTACCATGCTCCTTGACCGTGGGGCTGATGTGTCAATTATTTCCCTTAGTGATCATAACTGTTTGACTGCTGCCACGGCATTTGGCCATCGACATGTCTGTATGGCCATTGTAAACCACTCCAGGTACCAACAACATAACTTAAACTAGTCTCAGGCTGATGACAATGATGAAAATAATTATAATTAGTAATAATAATCTGGGTTACGTTTGAGTCATAGTTATACTCTATTCACTTATGAACGAGTATAAAACATTTATTACCTAAACTCCATTCAATAATAAGACCAGACAACATAGTAGGGGCGGGCATCTCGTTTATTCATGCCTGATAGTTTGACAACTGAAAAGTATGCATTATACAAGTGGTCATATACAAATTATAAACGGCATTGTTTGACGACTCCAGTCAAAGAAGCTATCACTCATTGTGTTCCAAGGCTGGGCGAGCTGATGGAGAACTAGGGCTAGTGAAAAAAACAAAAAAACTAAGATTTGTATTAACGATGAGATGCCTTCGAATGGCAATTCATTCATGACTCACACCTTAAATACTCTGCATATGTAAATACCCAAAACTTCGTTTACTTAGTCACTTATACATAAGTGCTGACACGCGTCAATACCTCCCTGTGTACATTCCGTACCGCTGATAAATATATCTGTCAATAGCTTACTTTCGGTATTTTTGGAAGCGTGCGACTGGTAACGATTTTTAGCATAAAAACGAGGTTCGGTTTCCAGATGACCGCTCGCGTCGCGCCAGAATGTAAAAAGGCGGGAATAGTTTCAAATCATAAACAAAGTTWTTAATGGACTCGAGGTTCATGGGACTCTCCATTTCCTTGACAACGTCACGTGTTAGCTATACAGATGTGTTCAGTCTTTGCTGAATATTAATCACTTTTTGCTAGTCTAATATTCGTGGGCTTTGTCTGTAAAATGAGGAATGATTATGTTAATTATAATACGAATTCTGTAGATGGGAAGAAGCCTGCCAGTTTGAAAACAGTGATGGTCATCCGCCAATGAAATCTTTGATTGAACAATTCCCTGATGTTGCCAAGGTAACTATATTGGCAAGAYTTAATTAATTTCACACGTAGACAACAATATTGTAGTTGCGGAGAGAGTGTTGATGAGGGTAAGTCACGCATCGATATCGCACTAGTAAAAACATCAAAACTTTGATGGTGCCCTAAAGCACTTTRTCACAACGTTTTTAATAATAGCGAAATAATTTGCTAGTTTAAGATCGATGTCAATCAACATGCTGTAACCTTCACTTTCAGGTCATCATGGACAAATGTATCATGAAATCTCATCATCAGAAAAACCATGAAAAGTTCGAGGTACAAAATACGAAAGATATAATGTACATTGATTAAATCGGAACTAACTGGCGTTTATTCTATTGGCATCAAAAGGTAACMTATCGATTTGAGTACCTCGACCCAGACCCTCACGGYCAAACATTTTCACGTGAGAAAAAGTTCTTTGCTCCAAAGGTAAAAATATGTCTCACTCATACTTTAACGTTGTATATTCTCTTGTCTTTGTTCTAGTCCGTGGCTGTGCCCTTGCCTTGTTTTTACTTCCTTTGTTGTCGTTTGTATATTGCACTTTTTCATCTTTTGGGACGCTAATAATCAAATGATTCGTTATGTTTTTAGTACATGCTACAGGGTGTTCATAAAGATCTACTTTTTCACCCACTCACACTACAACTCGTCCGCTACAAATGGTAAATATAACTCATCCCTGTTTCTTTATTGAGCAAACTGTGTTTTTTTCGTCACTACTTGATTTTCAATGCATTGTGGGATCAATTTGAAGAGAAAACAAAAGAAATCCGCCATGTTCTGTCCCAAACATATCCTACAATGCATTGCGTATACGGTACATGACGTAAAAGCTGCCGAGGTCTATTCATGGTTCACTGCCTTCTCGACTTTYATACTTAAGAAACAGTTGTGTAAAAAGATAAATTAAACACCGTAAAAAAGTAGGAGAAGTAACTTACTGACGTTTCGGACGTTAATCCTTCGTCGGAGTAAAAGTCAAGAAATRTAAAACGGCGCGCGTGTCTCTGTCCTCTGACAGATATAAACACGGTGGGAGTTAGAACGCTGATTTGATCATATTTGCTTTATAGAACACGTTTTCTTCAAAACGTCACTGTAGAATCACAAAATAGAAGTGTGCAAACAATGTAAGGTTTGTGCGAAGTTAAACCAGTGGTTCGTAGTAAGAAGGTGGTTTTTCTCTTTCCATGATTGTTAACAAGAAAGTGGAGGGGTTCAAAGAGATAAAACACGGATGGATGATGGCGACTGATGTTCTAAGCGATGTTATTCGTTGTAAGTTTAGCAAAGAGTTTACTAAGTACATCGACTCACGCGGTTACAAACATTCTAATTTTGACAGCATAGCTGTTCGATCACCTCCTCTTTGCACGCTGAACATGACAGATCCAAGATGGACGCTAGACCTTTGTCACCCGTTAACCAGCGATTCACTGGAAAAAGTCTGCCGAGAGAACTATAAAGTGACAGTATTGAAAATACTCATAAAGAGAATTGAAGGTAAAAGTATCGAGAACGTTCGGTCCGTGTGCAGTTCATCTGAAATCGATTGTAAAATCATTTTCCTAATTAGAGATCCGCGGGCTGTCATGACTTCTGCTCGAAAAGTCGTTTTTTTTTTCATGACGATAAGAAAGGATCTGGACTGCGACAGTATTCTATGAGGACGTGCAACGAAACAGAGAATAACTTGGAGATTATTAAGGACAATGTACAGTTTTGGCGAGATCGCAAACTGATTCACAGATATGAAGATTTTGTAACAAATCCACTGAAGACACTTTCTAGGCTGTTCAAGTTTGCTGGATTATCCGAGGAAGATCTGGTAAAAACATGGCTGAACAAAAGCACACATGCAAGTTRCAAGGAAATGCAATTAGATTGCAAACGAAAAGTACTTGATCTGGATCACTGTACCACAGCCAACTCTGCACAGCGTGTAAACCAATGGARGACGAAGGCGTCTTTAAGGGACATTTTGACGATTGAGCGTTATTGCAAACGAACAATGATTCTGATGGGATACAAGTCTGTGAATGGATCTCGACGGGTTATGTTCAAATGTTCGTATTCCATTGTTTAGCAAAGAATATCCCGCGAAGGCATGGTTTATGAATTGAATTCCATGCGAAGCACTTGACTGAAACAATCTCATTATCATCATTAGTAMAATAGCGTGGCCGAATTATATTTCATTGACCACAAATGATAATTTCACTATTTAAGTGTTTATATGCAAAARTCGCCATCCATTGCTTCTTTTATTACTCCAACGGCATAATTTTGCGTCAAAATAGGGAACTTCTGGTTTCACTGGTTTCATGGCCAGGACTTTTATGATTAGATGGGGCCTCGTCATTATAAATATCAAATATTAATAAAAACCAACAGAGTCGCTTTGCTTTGTTGTTGTTGTTGTTGTTGTTGTTGTTGTTGTTGTTACTGTTGTTGTTGTTGTTGTTGTTGCTGTTGTTATTGTTATTGTTTTGTTGTTGTTTGTTTGTTGTTTTTGTTGTTTTTGCAATACTCTAGTTTCGAATTCATAGCGAAAAACCTCTGCTTTATTTGACAACAGATTCTCTTGTGCAAAGACCTGACCACACACAACACCCTAGCCAATAATACCCGACAACACTACCGATATATCACTTTTCTTTGTCCATGCATAAACAAGTCCAATTTGTTGTAAATAAAYTTKCAAAAAACATTTCCTCGGAAAACCGGCGCGGGAAGTGTTTGCCTTGAAATCGGGACAAAATCCATCCATTTATTTCTTCATWTATTTGTTTCCAGGAAGTGCTTTGGACTACGGTTTTTCTACGGGGCTGCTATTCTACACGTATTTTTTGTTCTGCTCTTAACTTTGTATATTATGTGTACAAACAATATGTTCATTGTTGACGAAATGAAAAAGAGAAATATTCCTGTCTCTGATGATCAAGAATGGGTGAGTTTTTCATTACTGGTTTGAAATATTAATCTACGAAAAGACAAAACTTACCTGAAAACTTACAGGCCTGGATTGTTACTATCAAGTAGATTTTTTGTTTGAGGAATATTCTTTTACTCTGCTAGATTMTGTTCCGTTGTGTTTTTATCTGCTTGCAATAATCTTGTGGTTATAGTGATTCCTGCCTAAATATGTTTCTAGGGGATTTGCACTAACGACACCATAGCAACGTGGGGATTGTTCATTCTTGTGATATCTGTCTTTAATCTGTGTATTGAAGGCTATCAAATGTATGTAGAGGTAAGTTTACATCTTATATTGGTTATCGGGGTTCCATATCAATCTAATGCGTCACTCCACAGGGATCTAGAAGATGGGTGACGTCAAACTTTCTATCCTTTCCCCGTCCCCCTCTTATTCCCTCCCGTCTCCTTCCTTCCTTTCTTTCTTCCCTCCTTCATCTCCTTCCTTCCCTGCCTCCCTTCCTTTCTTCCGTCCCTCCTTCCTTCCTTCCTTCCTTTCTTCCTTCCTTCCTTCCCTCCTTCCTCTCCTTCCTTCCCTGCCTCCCTTCCTTCCTTCCATGTCTTTCTTCCCTACCTTTCATTTTCTCCCTCCTTTCCTCCATCTCTCTCTCTCTCTTCCGCATTTCTTCCTTCCTTTCTCTCTCCCTCTAACACTTTCTTCCACCCTTCCTTTCTTACTTCGTTCTATTTTTTCACTCCTTCCATTTGTTTACCTTGTCTGCACCACTCCTTCCCTAGTTTTCATGACCATTTCTCAAATCCTTTACAAGATATAACTGCTTATGTTTTTATTTGTTCCTGCACTTCCTTACAACTATTGTTATATTATGTYGCCATCCTCCCGTTCCTAAACTCCTTTCTTCTGATATTTCATACTGTATTTTGTTTTTATTTAGAGATGGGGCTACATCGATACCAGCAACGTAGTAGAGCTGTCTACGTTTTCTTGTTCTTTGGTGGCTGTCATAATGCGCTCGCTTGATTATTATAACCTACACCCAGAATTATTCTGGAGTTTTATCGTCGTCGCTGTGCTGTTTACCTACCTTACCATGCT